CCAGTTTGGGGCTGGGTTCCCAGTTTGAGTTCCCAGTTCAAATCTGGAGTTCCCAGTTTGGGTTCCCAGTTTGGATCCAGGCCCCGCCCACCAGAAATTGGCCCCGCCCCTTTCCCGTGGGAACCGGAACCAGGGAGGGACTGGGACAAACTGGGATGGACTGGGATGGACTGGGACAAACTGGGATGAACTGGGACAAACTGGGAGAGCAGAACTGGGACTGGGATGAACTGGGAAAAACTGGGATGAACTGGGAGAGTGGAACTGGGACTGGGACAAACTGGGACAAGCTGGGAGAGGGGGAAACTGGGGACTGGGACGAACTGGGATGAACTGGGCCAAACTGGGAAGGGGGAAAATTTGGGACTGGAATGAACTGGGACCAACTGGGATGAACTGGGAGAGTGGAACTGGGACTGGAACAAACTGGGACCAGCTGGGATGGACTGGGACAAACTGGGACCAGCTGGGACCAGCTGGGAGAGGACACTAGACTGGGTAGGACAAACTGGGACAAACTGGGATGGACTGGGACGAACTGGGAGAGTGGAACTGGGACTGGGACAAACTGGGATGGACTGGGAGAGGGGGAAATTGGAGATTGGGATGAACTGGGCCGAACTGGGAGAGGGAGAAGTTGGGGACTGGGATGAACTGGGATGAACTGGGACCAGCTGGGACCAACTGGGAGAGGACACTAGACTGGGTCAGACTGGGACAAACTGGGACAGGGTGACACAAGGAACTGGGGCCAAACTGGGAGAGAAGAGACACCAGGAACTGGGGCTAAACTGGGCCAAACTGGGACTGGGATAAACTGGCCAAACTGGGACATGGGGACACCGGGAACTGGGACCAACTGGGACTGGGCCATACTGGGACAGTGGGACTGGGCCAAACTGGGAGAAACTGGGACAGGGTCAAACTGGGAACTGGGACAAACTGGGACAGGGTGACACCGGGAACTGGGACCAACTGGGACCTTGGACTGGGTCAAACTGGGCCACACTGGGACAGGGTCAAACTGGGACTGGGCCAAACTGGGACAGGGTGAGTCTGGGAACTGGGCCATACTGGGACAGGGTGACATGGGGGAACTGGGACAAACTGGGACAGGGTGACACCAGGGAACTGGGACAAACTGGGGCCAAACCGGGAACTGGGGCCAAACTGGGACAAGATGAACCGGGACTGGGCCAAACTGGGATGGGGTCAAACTGGGAACTGGGGCCAAACTGGGATATGGTGACACCGGGGAACTGGGACAAACTGGGATATGGTGACACTGGGGAACTGGGACAAACTGGGATATGGTGACACCGGGGGATGGGGTCAAACTGGGAACTGGGGCCAAACTGGGACAGGATGACAGTGGGAACTGGGCCATACTGGGACAGGGCCAAACTGGGACAGGATGACACTGGGGAACTGGGACAAACTGGGGCCAAACTGGGATGGGGCCAAACCAGGAACTGGGCCATACTGGGACAGGATGACACGGGGAACTGGGGCCAAACCGGGACAGTGGGACTGGACCAAACTGGGACAAGGTCAAACTGGGAACTGGGGCCAAACTGGGACAGGGTGACACTGGGAACTGGAACAAACTGGGCCAAACTGGGACAGGGTGACACCAGGGAACTGGGGCTAAACTGGGACAGGGTGACACCGGGGGAACTGGGCCATACTGGGACAGGGTCAAACTGGGAACTGGGCCATACTGGGACAGTGGGACTGGGCCAAACTGGGACAGGGTGACACCAGGAACTGGGGCAAACTGGGACAGGGTGACACGGGGGAACTGGGACAAAGTGGGACAGGGTGACACCAGGAACTGGGCCATACTGGGGCCAAACTGGAACAGGGTCAAACTGGGAACTGGGGCCAAACTGGGACAGGGTGACACCGGGAACTGGGCCCTACTGGGACAGGGTGACACGGGGAACTGGGCCATACTGGGCCAGTGGGCCTGGGCCAAACTGGGCCATACTGGGACAGGGTCAAACTGGGACAAACTGGGATGGGGTCAAACTGGGAACTGGGGCCAAACTGGGACAGGGTGACACCGGGAACTGGGCCATACTGGGACAGGTGACACCGGGAACTGGGGCCAAACTGGGACAGGGTGACACCGGGAACTGGGGCCAAACTGGGCCATACTGGTCCCCCCTCCCTGCCGCCGCCCCTCCCCCCCAAACCTGCGCGCCGCCCCTCGGGGGGGCCGGGGGGGGGTGGGGCCACCCCGGCTCCTTCCTCGCTCGCCGCTGTCGCCTCCGTTGTCGCCTCGCCGTGCCCGCCGTGTCCCCGCTGTCCCCTCGCTGTCCCCGCGCTGTCCCCGAAGGGGGACA